CGGTGCAAACATATCTAAATTTTTCCTGAAATAAATGTCTTCATTCAGCCTTCAAAATTCTTCAACCTTTATCTTTTTCTTCCCTGTTGGCTCTTCTGAACAGCTTGAGCTGACTCCATTCATTTCAGTTTGCTCTCTCTTCTTTATCTTTTCTTTATTGTCATGAACAGCCCTTATTGGGCTATAAACTTCAGCATTTACAGCCCTGATTGGGCTGTACAGTTCAAACTTTACAGCCCTTAATGGGCTGTTCAATTCAGCCTCTACAGCCCTTGTTGGGCTGTTCACTTCTGCATCTACAACCATTGTTGGGTTGTTCACTTCGGCCTCTACAGCCCTTATTGGGCTGTATACTTCACCATTTGATTCCTTCACATTTATAAAATATAAATTAGAAATCATATGAAAAATATTTACAAAATATTTATTGTGCTGTTGAAAATATAAAAAAGAAAAATAACCATTCCATTGCTAGCAATTCCACCAAATCTGCTGACCAAAACAGGATCGGCTGTTACTCGAGAAACCGTAAATGGACCATTGGATGATCCTAAACGATTGCTTTTCTTTGAAACCTTAAACAATATAGCTTTGTCCTTCAAAATCTCAAGGTCATGAGGCAGCTCTGATCCATCAAACTGCTGCATTATAATTTTTGCATTAAAAAATAGTTAATGATAATATAATCATAAAATTATGAGGAAAACTAAATATTAAAAATGCACATGCCTTAATCATTTCACTAACAACATCATCGCATGTTTTTCCAACCAATTCTCTTGCAACTTTGTCCCAGCACAAAAGGGGCACTATTCCGGTGTGGTCCCCGACCGAAATATGTAGCTTGTACCTTTGAATAAAAAATGGATATAAGTTACCAAAAATTTAAATGATTAATTAAAAAATGTAAAACAAATGTACCTAAGATTTGCAAAGGGCATGGAGTCTTGGCAATGATTACACCAAAATTTATCTTCCTTCCGCTCGACTTTTCGAACACAGTTCGGGCAAGAATTGAAATACCAATTTCCCGAAATATCAACAATTGTGCCGTAAATCCAAAAATTTGAATGCTGAAATGACACATTAAAAACAACTCAATAGATTTCAGCAAATAATTAATACAAAAAATGATAAATACTAAAATGAAAAATATTAGATGAAATTTGATACCTCTTCGGACGCATAAAAGTCCGCAACACATTTGATAGGAGCATTTCCGGATGCCAAATCATCACATATGTTAGACATGAATGATCTAACATATTTGATTGAAATTTTACTTGGCCTTGGGTGGGAGTTGTACCTAATATTTAAAAAAACATGTATATATATTTCAAATTAGAATATGATATAATAACAAATATTAATTTAAAAAACATGACAAATACCTTTGTTTGAAATCAACTATCTCGGAAACATCACTTGAGAATATCATCTTTGTGGCATCATAAATATTGGAAACTTTTATGGATCCTAAAAAAAATAGGAATAATTAGGGACTATATTCAAAATTTCAAGTTAAATGTAAGAGAACAAATGATTGTTAGAAATTAAGTGAACAAAAATACCATCTTCAAATGACTTTGCTCGACAAAACTGTAATATGACCACACGCAAATCACTCGGAGATGATTTGTTGTAGGCATCTAGAAGGATTTCGGCATATCGGTCCCATAGAGTACAAATCAGTTGGCAGCCCCTATAGGAAGACCGAAAACAGCATTTTTAATATAGATAATATATGCATATAACCTTGAATTAAAAAGTAAAAGTCCATGAAAAATAACTTACTCGACGTCCTCAAGAACGATATCAATAAATTTCTTAACTTCTCCCCTCGAAGTTGTTGTACGAATGCTCTGAAACAAAACAATGCGCCCAATAATGTCTACAAAATAAAAATTAATTTATATTTAAAATGTATGATTAATAGAATTATTAAACAACAAATAATAAAAAATTTACCATAAACACAAGTAGAATCGATTGTTTCGGGGTCTGACAGGTCGCTGAATTTCTTGAAGTTAAACATAAAGATCGGATACTTGACATCGTCCATCTCGGACATGGATGTTTGCTCGTTGAAAGTGAACTTGTGACTTGAATTGGTTACCTTGAATGCACTTTTGTCTTGCTGAATTTCGTAATTTGTTATCTTATAAACCCGACCTTCAATAAGATCAAAATCCTGCACCTTTTCGGGGGCCCATCCGTGAACATGTTGTCCCTAAATAAATAGAAAATAAAAAAATTAAATACATTAGATAAATTCTGTAAAAATTCACCAATTTTTGGAATAGTAAACAAAAAAATTTTCAGACCTTGATGTCATGAAAAATGAACTCGTGTCCGCTGATTCTTGATCTATTTGATTGATAATAGCGGGGGTATTTTCGGACCAGCCTGAGCGTGGCAGCCTTGTTCTTGTTTTTGGCAAGAAATGTCAAATTGTCAAACATTGTTGCCATTGGTCAGTTAGAAAATATTTGGGCTAAAAGATAATTTGCTTGTGTAGGATTTGGAAGAGGTGTGTTGAGATTGTGTGAATGTGTGGGTATATATAAGGTTTGCAAAGCTTAATAATAATTAGGTACATATTAATGTGATTGCATAATTTCTGTAATTTTGTTTGACATTTTGTACTTATTGTCACATTTAATTTTAAATATTTATAAATCCTAAAATGTGCTAACCTCATGGGATTTTGACATTCTGTTTTTTTAAAATTTTTTGTTATCTATATTTGAATCTTCTGAATTTTATTTCTGCCGCCAAATTGTTTTTAGCCATTTTTTATTTCTATAACTGAAATTAAATATTATTACATTTTCCAAATTAATCAATGTATATAAATGCTGATTGGTTGAGATAATTACAATATCCCAAGATTTTAGTATGTTAGTTTTAAATTCTGATTAAAGTATAAGATATTTTAAAAATGATTAGCTGATTTTTCCTTTTTATCCTTTTGCAGATCCAATTGAAGACTATG